AAGTTATCAAAATGATGTGTCATCCACATCACCTCATTAAAGCCACACAAGCAAAAAAGTCAAAGGTTTAACCGGTTTAAAAGGTAACAGGTTACTCATTGCTATTACAGATAGATTTTTTAAAGTACAATGCCTTAATAAAAAATAATTTGAAAGTACATTGCTGTAATAAAGAAAAATAAAAATATAATGCTAGAATAAGAAATTTTATGAAAGTAGGTTGCTTTTTCATGCATTTAACCCAAATAAATATAATAACAAAAAAATATGAATATTATAATTTGTGATTGTGAACTAGTGATCGCCAAATCAGTCCAGTCCGGCTCGGGACTGGCAAAGGATCGGTTATGGGACTGAAAACCGGAAACGATTGGGGTTTTTGGTAGTTTCGTGGGACCGGGACCGGTTATGGGACCGCTTATGGACCGGCCTGAAAATTCAAATAACTTTATAAATAAATGTATTTTTTAAATAATTTTATAATGTATTTTTATAAGACAATGTAATTTTAATTATATTAAAACGCATTTTTAAAGTGTATTTGAGTAATTCAATTGTAAATTTTATAATGTATTAAAAATATATATATAAAAAAAATCTTATTTTTTAATGCCGGGACCGGTTGGGACCGACGGCCCATAACCGATTATGAAGTACCTTGACTAGTCCTACCATTTTCGATCGGGATCGGTTATGGCCGGTTATTAGAAAGTTTGGGACCGAGTAGGCCCGAACCGACCTGAGACCGGTTTTTAGCCATCACTACTAGGGGTGCTCAAAAATCCGACCAACCCGATCAACCCAACTCAATCCAACGCGAAATAACTCAACCCGAAGCAACCTGATGTCTAATCGAGTTGTAAAATTTTCAAACCGTAAGTATTGGGTTGATATTGGGTTACTATTATTTGAACCCAACCCAACCCGATGAACCCGATATCCATTTATTTCTTGGATTTAATATGATTATTGAATTTCTATTAATATATACACTAGACAATTACACTATCAAGTACGCTATTCATATACACATTTTTTCAATCTATTTACATCTCTATATAACTCATTCGTATATATGTTCAGTAACTGTAAACATCTATACGTACATTGAGATAATTAACTGAATGTGATATACGTAAGAAGTATGGAATAGTTGTATCAAATGATTGATGATGAAAAAGAAATTATGAGTAATAAAATAACATATTCAAGGTTAGAAAAATATTTTAATGTACCAAAGTATTAACCCTACCCGACCAACCCGTACAGTTTGGGTTGGGTTGGGTTGGGTTGCGCTTTCGTTTGAGTTGGGTTGAGTTAAGATTTTTCAAACCGCAAGCATTGGGTTGGGTTGGGTTGTTCAGATGTCTTCAACCCGATCAACCTAACCCATAATCACTCCTAATCACTACTGTGAACTATCATTAGGTAGGAGAGAGAAATTTTTTTTATTGCAATAACACTCGTAGTCATGAAACTCTTTCCTACAAATTTTATAAACTTTCTACCTCAATCATGGATAGAGTTAGATTATGGTGAGAAGGAGAACTAAGGTGAGAATGGTAAGAAGATATCTCAATTTTTGAATGCATATTAAGGAGAGATGTACCGGATCAATTCTCATATCAAATGCGATTCATGGGTAAGTTTGAAATTAAAAATGATTAAGATCTAAATATCTTATTATGCTTCTCACCTTAACTCTACATCTCACACAATTTTTCACCATCATGGATAAGACCATGGTTTATATGATAAAAAAATCAAATAATAAAAATTATAATGATTGAGAATTACTTATTATAACTAAAAGACAATAATTAAAAATTACAAGAATAAAAGTCATAATTAACTAATTAATCAACAATATTTTAAAATTATAAAGTAAAAAGCTACATTATAAAAATCACAAAAATTTAAAAGTATAATCTATATTATATTATAAAGCATTTGACAAAAACTCTTAAAACCCATTTTTATGCATGAAGTACTGTTTATTGATGCATATTACTTAAAATCTAAAATTACAAGTAATTTTGCATAAGTATAACTTATTAAAACTTCATTTTTAAAATTGTGTCACTAATTACTGATAAATATAATCAAATACAAGATAAACATCCATTTTAAATATAGCGAATCTAAAATATAATTA